TTGTACGATTTGTTGATCAATTTTATGGAGAAAAAAACCCGAAAGCTTTGACATCAGGTATATTGCAGATATAAAGTTCCTATTTAACATATTTTTCTGTCGAACTTTACAATGAGTATTACACATTGCTGATAGGTTTGGGTTCTTACAGATAACAACAAACATGGTCTACACTGACTACTGTCATTAGCTGTATTTCTCAAAACGAAGTCCCAGCAAACAGGCGGTACATGTAAATCTATGAATGCTAAACTTACGGAACGCAATCATCAACACACATCTACAGTATTACACATGTAATCTGTCAAGAATGGGACTTGGCTCTCATATAACGGTACAGGTGAATAACATTTAGATCACTGACCGGGATATTCCCTTACCTGTGTAAAACACTGAGATGTGGTCGTTAATTTACTGTATGACCATTATGTAAACAAAAGTTGCCCTTTTTTGGTTTGTTAAGAAGAGCATAGGTCTCAGGCACCGAAGGCGTTAGAGCGAAGCTCTTTAATGGTAACACATGCGTGCGTAAACAGAGTTGCGTCGCCTTGCTGCAACTTGCCTTTATTTTTTTTTCGTCCGGAAGTAGACGTCCAGTGAGGAAATAGGAAGTGTATCCTTGAAGCAAAGACAACTGTGTTTCAACCCATACATAAACATTTCATATAGTGAAAACAATCTTTATGTTTTATTACTTGATTATTGCGAGAAAACTAATATACATTCTGAATAAAAAAGTCTATCACATACAATCTAATACTAACAGGCATGAAACCTCGTTCGGAGATTATCATACTATGACATCACAAACACGCCACAATACATAGGCCTGCATCGGTTATTTCCGGAAGGATGAAATTCTGGAACTGATGTCCGTTGCATTTATCTCTTTGTCGGCGCTTCAAGATTTTTTTATTTCAGTTTTTGTCACTGGCACAAACAGTAAAAATATGGATATTTTCTGGAGATCCTTTTTGTCATCAACCAGGTTCTGTTAATATTTCTACCGGGATATATCTTCAAAAAGAGCCGGCATTAAACCAATAGGTCAACGTGTACATTTATGTTTTCATCATCAAAAAAATCATCAGTTTTTGATTTCCATTTGTTGAGAATATGAACGAAAAATTTAACATTTTTAAAAGTCTGGTTATAGACTTTACATTTTATTTATGCATCACCACTCGTAAAGGAAGCAATGGTTAATGCATTTATGACGAAATTAACAATAATTTTCCAGATAACCAACCCAAGGTCAACGCCTTTTTTCAGCAACGTATTACTTTTTCACAACCCGTGCCGATTTATAACTAGATACAGACAGAAACTGTTAAATTCCATCTGGTATCATTACCTGTCAAGCCACGGTGACAGTTACAAAATTTGATATTCAAATACGGTATTTCATGAGAGAATAGTAATTGAGACTACATATCGATATAACGACGATCTCAGTTACATTAAAGTTTTACAAAGGTTTCTTTTCTTTAATTTGTTTTTTAACTAACATCTCTTTATATTTACTTAGACTAATTGTCAAATATGTAATATGCACTTTGTCTATAGCAATTACCAAACAGTTTTTTTTCCCAAACTTATCTCATTCTTTTTGTGCCCTGACGGAAGCACGCAGAGGATTTAATTCTTAATGTGGGAGGAAGCTGGAGTATCTGGAGAAAACCCGCGTGGTCGGGCAGGTGACCGGGATTGAATCCGACCATCTTGGTGAAGACGAGCGCGCTATCCACTGCCCCAGCTGACCGATCATATACGTGACGCACAAAAATTGAATAGAAAAATGGCGAGGAAAACTCTAATGAAAAAATATTCAACAGGAGAAAATTACTTTTGAGAGGGTAGAAAGAAAATCATGATCTCGCTTCCAGTTATGCGAACCTTTTGAAACGGAATTGCTACTTTTCTTTACAGTCAAACGTGTAACACACTGACAGTTTCAAATGATATTACATGAAAACCAAGCCAATCACTCGTTACCATATTGCTGTACGATAGGAATTTATTGAAATATCAATTTGGGCCTGAACAAGTTCGGCCAAAAATACCGTGGCAAGGTCGGCCTATGTAGTTAACACATAAAACGTCGTAATATTTGCGTTAAAATCTGATGTTGCATGCTTTATGACGTCAAAATTAAGCTGATTCCAATGGGGGCCGAATTTACCCGAATGCCTGTTCGAACTTACCACATGGCGGGGCTCGTTCGGCCATCCGATTTTCCGACAGGAAAAGTTAAACAATGTTCACAAACGGACGTGCTGCCTTACTTCCTAGAACGGACTTTAATAAATAAAAAAGGCCGAACTTGCCCGGTCTCCCCTATTGTTATGTCGTTAATCTCATTAGAGCTTGTGTTTTATTGTTATTCCTCGACTTGTTGACTTTAAATAAAGTTTATCGTATCACAATCCGAAAGCAATATTCTGAATCGGTAAATATCAGAGATCAACAAAAGCTATGCTCTTTTAAGGCTTTGTCTTTTCATATTAGGTTTAGAGCCACTCAAACCTACAACCACTATCACCAGGTTCGTTTACATAGTGGCTAAGTTTACCTGTGTGTATGTAGGGGACCTTGTCAATGTTTGACGTGGCAATTTAATTCCATGAAGAATTAACATGACAAATTACGTTTTAACGAAATACATTTATATATGAACATAAAAAATCTAACTAGAATAGTGGGATCGTCTAGTATTCCATCGTTCGAACATGGTGCGCACGTCGTGCTCACATCGTGCGTAGACACTGCACATTGTGTTATGTTGTGCGATTCCACAAGTGTACGGTGTCCATAGTTTCATTTAAAATACTTTTATCACACAACTGGCCCGTTTCACTATGTCATGCGGTAACATCATAAATTTGGTAATGCAGAGGTGTGATAAACCTAAAAGTTCTTCGATTGGTCAAAACTGCGGAACATTTTCCTGCGGCCCTACAGGTACAACTTTTATTGAACTGAAATGTTTCTGAAAACAATTACTGCTTTCGCTATTTGATTAATTTGAAATGTTTATTTTGTCATTGTCATTTTTATTGCATTTAAAAGTGTTCATTTTTCAAAAACAAAAGCTTTAACTACTTCGCACTGCGCGGAACGACTGTCATTGCATTTTAAATGACAGGGACACTCATGTAAAAGGCTATTAAATTCCTAACTAACACTTTGTTGTCCCCACATCTAAATATGTAAGAACATGTTTAAGCCCCATATCTCCATATCATAAACTTCATTTGTCCCTTAACCTACATAATATATTATGATGGGCTTCGTCACCATATTTAAATATGTTTAACTATTTAAGCCCCATACCTACATAGAATAGACTATTAATCCCTATACATACATATGATAGACCCTCTTAGTCCCCCAAAATACATATTATGGACTAATAACGTCCTGATATCTTCATAATAATAGTAAACTAGATGACCCATATCTACACAAGATAAAACTATGTGGTCGTAAATCTTATCTTTATTTCAACCACGGTTACACGTTTCTTGAACTTTCTTCTCATATCAGTTGGTTCAATCACGCAAATATTTCAGATTCGTATGTCGAACTCAGAAACGATGCTTCGGGGTATGCCAAGCCTTTTTATTAACATTTCTGTAGGTTTCAAACTTTGATTTATCAGAGCATTCAATGTTCGTGTTTGAATTTTTTTACTAGAAAACTTAAAAAGAAAAAAGCATGCTTACAATGTAGTTGTTTGCTGCAGAAGGCCTGACAATGTTCGCGATTTTACTCCACCATATTATATATAGGAATTTGTTAACCTATTTTGATTGCAATCACGTATTCTTATATTAAGTACACACCGAATTTATCAATTTAGAGTTGTTAGTTACTTTAAAGCCATTTTTATGTTTGTCTCAAATTTAGATCAAATGAAAATATTTTTACAATCCTGCACAGAAACAAACATTCTTTGCAATATTTTACTGTTCGTGATATTATTTGTATCTGTCGGTTTATGGGAAAATATATTTTGGAAGTTATATAAGGCAACATTAACATGTCATAACATAGATCTTAACCTTGTATTTCTACATTACATATGTTGGTGAAAAGAAGTCATACGCAACTAATTTTGTTGGCAAAACATGTTATTACATTATGTGATTTGCTCTATATCATCAAATCATAATGTTTGATTTCAATATTTTATTGATGTAACTAAATCAAAAATTATTTTTATTAAACAGTTCAACAGAATTATAATAATGAAATATCATCGGCGAAATAAACTTAAAATGCGCATACAAAAATTGTGAGGAATATGGCAAGGATGAAGGATGGATTCGTATTACAATTATAGTAATTCTCAAGTTTTACAGACTGTCCTGAGAAAAATTAATCTTTATGACAATCAATTCAATTTTCAATCTTGTCTCATCGTTACACAGATACAGATAAAGGGACTTGCTCAGGTCTTATAAAATCGCGAAACAGTTGATAGAATATTGTCTGTGTATAAATCTTGTTTAAAATAGATCCATTTAGACCAAATCGATGGTTTGACTTCTATGCAGATAACGACTACTTATTTATATTTTACGCAACTATTGTGACAGTTCTAGAGAAATGGAACAGCTGGTATGAAAAGCGTTCATTCGGAATGGTTTACATGACAAGTTAAGTACACAACGCTTGCTTTCTAGTAAACAGGGATAACAAGGCAGAAAACAAATGTCGGAACTAAAAATCAAAGCCGAAACAGCCAGTGATTCACCGTATGCAGGACCCGGTTGATACGGATTTTTGCAGAAAATATCAGCAAACTAGCTAAAACTCAAGCATAGTTTACCAATGATAATAAAAAAGTATTTAGTAAGGATAAACACATGGTTGGGCAAAGGTTAATCTTCAAAATAGTCCTCAAATCGTTATTTTATCAACATTAGATAAAATCTAACAATGCAGAACCATGTTCTGACCACTACCTGAGATATATATTTTTTTGGTTCCTACAGAAGTTGTCATTTTGCTGTCCATTGTTACAATCGGTAAGTGATCATTTATACAATTTAACTTGCATACGTTTGTTCACTATTGTATGAAAATGCAACCTTCACACTATATTTGTGATATTAAATATGTTTTACAACAATTAAAAAGGATTTGTAATGATGTCAACAAAACATTGCCATAGCGATAACAGTAAGTTTGCCTCGTTGGCATGACGGTAAAAAAATATTGCTTGTTGCCATGACGTTAGCAATAAAATTGCCTCGTTGCCATGACGATAACAATATTATTGCTCGTTGCATTGATGGTAGCAATAGTATTGATTAGTGGCCATGACGGTAACAATAATATTGCTGGTTGCTATGAGGGTCACACAAATATTGCCTTGTTGCCTGCCACGACTTATGTATAGGAATTTCTTATCAAACATGACAGACAATTTCAAATCTGAAACCTACAATCTATTAAATTGTCTCCTTACTATTTATATCGGTAATGGTTGGCATGTCTGTTATTTAACTTTTATTTTAATGATATTAACGGTCATATGAATAATAATTGCTGCCGTATAGAGTGGTAATTGTGTTCATGCATGCATATCTTAGCTCTTCATTGATTATTTTGTATTAAAACCTTGTTTTTTTTACAGTGAAATGCAATCAAATCTGTTGGCAATGCAGTGATGAGTCGAATTTAGCATTATGTCGTAACAACACAGTGACCTGTTCTACTAACGAGGTATACGGCGTAGACGAACACAGATACCATTCATGTAGTAACCATGACATATGTATTCCTTATGACGGTATGAAACGATATTTAGTGCGTTTTGTTTAAGGAACGAAAATATCTTTTTCAACACTCAAGAGGTCATAACATTTGTTTTCATAACATATTTCATTAATCGTGTTATGACCTCATGCGTATTGAGTAATAAATTGGATTGCTTATATTTACATTTTTAGGTGCTTTTAATTTTTCGATGCCAGCCTAAGTAAAAAAGGGGGTTGTTTTATGTCTATTCTTAAATAGGATGGGGGGCATTGCAGTAGAGATAACAACAGAGTGTGTTCGTGGGAAATTGTAAACATTTGATTCGGGTCCCAGCAACAGCATGACAACAAAATACACAAAATATAGTTCCATTTTTAAAATTTAATTTGTTTACACAAATAATATGTATTATTATCATATACTTAACACACTTTATGCACTTTAGTACAGCTTTAACACCAATCCAATCCAATCCTGTTTAATATTAATTTGTATTAGCATAACAAACTGCATAGAGGGGTCTGAACTAAGTACGCCATGTTGTGGTGTATCTATACGAAGTGATGAGGTCATCTGTGGTATGTAAAAATATATGTCTTTTTACGTCAATGCATACAGAATGCAGATATTGTTTAAATGAAACTGAATCACCCATCACGCCAGAGTACGTAAAATCAGCTTCGTGTCATGATGTTTGTAAAACAATGCTTAAAAGATAGTATTGAGTCTTAATGAAAACATGGATATCGGCTTTTCTTACTTTGGTGACATTGTCTGTGATAATCTGGTTGAGTAGTCTTTAGGTATTTGATATCGAAAAAGTCGTTGTTCTTGTCATGATTTACCTGTCGCAAATATTCCTTAACTTTCTTTTATTATTAGCTTACCGATGAAACGTACGTATCAATTGATTTTAGCGGATACAAACATGAAGAGCAATTTATAACAATAGTCATCTTGCAGTCTTTTGTTTTCATGAAAGAACATCTTTATTAGATGATTGCTAAAGATGTGAAAATGTCAAAAACACTATTTCCGTTTCGTTTGGTGACTTTGTCTGTGAGAATCTGGTTGAGTAGTCTTTAGGATATTTGATATCGGAAACATTGTTGTACTTGTCATGATTTATGTTCCAAAAGGAATGTTTCCTGGAAAAGGCTATCACCGATACAAATGCGGTCGTGTACAGCGGTGGGTGTAGGTCAAATAAGGTAAGTATTATATTTCCCTATTTTTTTCTTTTTTTTTCATGGGCAGGGGCTTGTAGAATATAGATTTGTGTTTAAGTCGGACAATGTTATTCTCTCATTTCCATGTGTGTAAGATAGAGATGTCCAGGGTAAGAAAGGGATTGAGGGCATTTCTATCTTACACCCCATTTCACGTGACGTGACGTCACAATGGCTATATAACGACGTTCATTCACGAATTTGGAACTCTCCGATGCCGCAATGGAAAAAAAGGCGATGTAATGAAATTAAAACCTTTCACTATATATTTACTGTACACTTAAGAAAGATGTGATTAATTTTTCTGCACAAACATTGCTTGCAAAAATATGCTTAATCTGGCTGGCTGATTCGTTTTCGTCTAAAAAGCTCATTAGGAAAATTTATATTTTCAAAATGGTGGCCAGTCCAAACGCATTTTCATGAATTCTTGGCCTATTCTGATGGTTGGAATGAAATGAAAATACTCTTTTATGCCCAAGGGTGTAGGATAGGGACATTTTATCCCCGGAATTTTCAAATTTGGCGACACACTTTATTTTCTATAATTATTAACTTACCAATGAAACATACATATCAATTATTTTTTAGCGGATACAGACACGAAGAACAATTCATAACAAAAGCCATCTTACAGTCTTTTGTTTTTATGAAAGAACATCTTTATTAGATGATTGCTAAAGATGTGAAAATGTCAAAAACACTATTTTCGTTTCTAAAGGCAGATTTTCATTACTGCATAGAAGTAGACACATACTGAATATGTATTGTAGACTAATGCATCTAATATCATACATGGAAAATCAGGGAAAAAACAACATTTTAACAAAGATTACCGCCGATGATTGTTCGGTGATTCTTAACAATTTACCCAACCGGATAATATTTTGGAAAATAGAATTGCAAGAACACACTTGCACGCACTAGTTAAAGTGATGAAATTCCTTACTATATTCTATTTCATTTAAAAGTCCAAAAGTCAAAGGCCAAATTAAAGAATTTAGAGTAGAATGTTTGCAGATTAAAATTTCAAGGTATGCATGGTTTTAAATAACTATTAAAATAAATTCTGGTGTCATATTTTTTTTATATTGTTTAAGCAGACGTACACTTCTTTTCTGTATATGCCTTAGAAAGTTTCTTGAGACAAGTTTAAAATCTAGGACTTAGCTCCGTGAAAACGAGATTATCTAATGATCCAGATATCATTTTTGCAGCTTATCAGATGAATTCAATTACGTCTTTCGGGACATTACAGTCGCATTAGAAATGATTTTGAAATGCATGTAACGGAAGCAGATTTCAATCATATATGTCAATCTTTCAAGTAAGTCCCATGCCATTCTTTTCAATACATTAGCAAAGGCATAAATACACATCTTTTTATATTTCGCATAGCTCATTTCTAATACAATCATCATCATCTGTATCAAACATTCATCCTCTCAAAATATAATTCTTGTCAACACAACATTTATAAAATTGTTCCAGATTGTTTTTCGTTATTATTCAATTTAATTTGTATTTGCAGGTTTGCCAAATCATGCAAGCGGTCTCAGGTGTTGCGATTGGTAAAAGATCGACAGGCCTGTGTGGGAAATGTTGTACAGGACCTCACTGCCAGGATACTCTTTGTGGTCTTACGTCAAGTATGTATAAACGTCTATTTAACGCCATATTCTACACCTGCTTAATACAGTCGCGAGATCGCGCACCGCACCAAAATTACCGTGCGCATATCGTGCATACATCGTACGCACACCGTGCGCAAGTCTTTCGCATATAGTGTGCACAATTATGTAATTTAACGATCGATCTACCCATTGCGCGATAAAACGTGCACACATGTGAGCGATATGGGAATATCGGTTGATTGATTTTTAGGAATGAAAAAAAAATCCGGAAGACTCTAGGGGAAATATGGTAGATGGTATACGTGTTTAATATATCCGATCGGAATATTTTATTCTTCGTATATTTTTTCTTGTATGCACGTTACATATTAAATTGCCTGTAACCTATCAATAATGGGACAGTATTGTCAGGTACAGTACTCCACATTGTATATATACGTAATGAATCGAATGGAGTAGACCGCCGATGAGAGTTTTTGGACGATTGACAGTTAGCAAAGCACAACCGACTCACAGGTGTTGACCGTGTTTGTTACATTTTGTGTGTCACGCTTCCTTCCCGGTTGACTAGTGATACAAAACATGTACCCATTTTCTGGTAATTAATAGGTAACTGGGCATAGGTAAAGTTGCTTTGTTTACATCCTCATCTGCGTAAACAGTATGTACATGCATATGGCCGTATTAATACAATACACTCGAGGAAGGTCGTTTAAAACAATTTTAGTACAAAATGTGTCTATTATTGTTAGAAAATAACGCTTCTTGATGCAGAAATATACAAGATTTAATACGAAACCGTATTTATTCACAGGCCGTTTCTTAAGATACATCGAACACGATAATACCACAAAACGGTGTTATAGCAGTTGCACAGTTGTGCACGCGGTTAAATCGCACATTTTTGTTCACGGTGTGCACATCGTGCTCATATCGCATATCGTTTAATATTGTGCGATCCAAAAATTGTTACAATGATCAATCTTCACTTTCAATGATATGTGCTAGGATGTTGTTAATTGCAGCTATGCCTATCTCCGCTATTATGATGAAAAGTATCGAATATCTTCGTTAGTTTTTAACCCTCGGCCCGTGTACCGGGCCAAACTTTGACAATATTATCAGATTCACTTCCCTTGTCGTGGTCTTCATCTCTGAACGTTCTTTAGTAGCCATAAATTGTATTTATTTGTAAAATGCATCGCAACATGTTATATATTGGATATATTTTTGTTGCAGAAAAACAGATATTTCATAACAGTAGTTATGCAGCATTTTTTTCTAATTTTGTGATACCCTTTACCTTATGGCAGACTCAACAATTAATAAACCACAAAATATCATATCGAAGTCACTTCAAACGTAGCTAAGTACAGTAAAAACAGTTTGATTTTTGTTTTCCCTAACAAGAACACAAACAAGTTTTATCTTTGTCCTCGTGCAACTGGGGAAAAAATGCAACTGTTAATCGGAAACTTGTCTACTGACATCACAATAGTTCGAGTGGGTCGTTAAGAAAAGACCAATTCCTTGCGGCACTTATATGTTCATCTAAAGATTTAGAGGCGATTACTGTATACATAGAAACCTCTAGTAGAGGTTTTTATTGTTAATCTGCTGATGGACAGGTATCTTTCAATCCATGCATATTGATAATAATGTTGTTATTGCAACGACTAACATGTCCATCATGGATTATCTGTGTTTCTAGGTGGACCAAGTCTGAGTATATGTTTATCATGTAATTCCGTCAGTTCCCCTGCGGCTTGTATGAATTCCGAGGTGTGCCAGGATACAGAGGTAAAATGATGTAAGCCTACAGGAGCAGGATATGCCTCATCCCTACAAATGTTGAAGTATGATAGACTCCATATGTTATTGAAATTTTGTGGTGATATGTGACACATCTACTACATTGTACTAAGGTTAAATCTGTCATAATATTCATAAATAACTTTGCTACTAAAAAACGGACGCAATGTTTGGTAACGGAAATCATCGTATTTCCGAAAACATTTCCTTATTTTTGTATTAAGAAGGATTTTTCTTTTTCTTTTGACGAGAAATTATTTCCACTTATTTTTACGTCAGCTGAATTGTGTGTATATCATATCGGTTCTTTTGACGTCTTGTTTTTCTTGTACTTCTATGTCGAAGTTGAGCTCGGATTAACGCCCTTGAATTGTTACAGGTTTGTTCTGCTGGTATCCACATCGAAGGTGGTTCTTTAGTTCGTTACTCGTTGGGATGTGAATCAAAACATGTAAGTCACTATTCAACAAATAATGAATCACCTTTGAATATGATACATTTTTATTAGTAATGATCACCATTTCTATAAAAGAATGTGAAGTTACGCAGGTCAATTTGTTTTCTACACATCAATTTGAAGCGATTATGGATTTTACCAGGGCATGGCGAAAGTTTCCTGATATACACTTTTATTTTCGAGGGCTAAGATTCTGTAACTGAGATACCCAAATCTTGCTCAGTTACAGGCAATTTATTTTGTTTCTCGTACATTCCAGTTCGAAAAAATAAATTAGGTGAAAACAATAGGTTCCCCGTCTGGTGCCTAAAACAAATATGACCTCTACACTTCCAAAGCAACTATTGAATGCTCCCGTGTAAAAATGTAGTCCGTCTTTACAACGAAGACAACGTATTTCACTGTAAAAATTATATTTTATCTACAACATCAGATATCTAACAACACCAAAACAATTTATATACGACAAAACAGAATATTTATTAAGCAGATTCTTATAATTTCAAGCAGTTAACGTGCAGATGAAAGCTACGCCGTGTAAGAATTCCGCGAAATGTCATGTAAGGTACCAGACAGATCGGACGAGATAGAAAAATCTAACATGGTGACTAACAAGGGATATCTCCGTCTGAGGTGCGAGAATGTCATCACCTTGAACTGTCTGCTTCACCATGACTATTACATATAAAAAAAGACAAACGTCTTTGTCTTCATTGTCGTTAACACTTCTTTGCTCATACAATTTATATCATATTTATATATATTGTTTCAGTTATGCCGGGAACAGGCCGCTTATTTAACGCCAGGTCATCCAGGCCGAGCTATAGTAAATGCCATATCTATATGCGATTCTTGCTGTGTCAGCGATCACTGTAACAAGGCTGATTGTTATGTCTTGATGAAAAGTAAGTATCAGTTTCACGTCAGGAAAACCAACTTTGATAAAGTGCATGACATTACTTTTATTCGGGAAAGTGAATTAGCCACAGTATAGAAAGGAAAGCACTGCCTTACTAAGAAGGTGCATGTAGCTTTTCATGTGATTCGGCATTAAACCCGGAAACAAGATCAATAGTTAAGCATTGTCTAGTGGGGTCAGCGGCTGAATGGATGCCAGCTCGCACATTACAACAGCACTTACTGTTCAATACACACAGCCGTTCGTTTTCCTGTTTAAAACATCGAATTCCTTGGGATAAAGAATACTCCCAAACTACCTGAATTTCAATTATATTTCATCATTGTCAACCAGTGAAAAACTTTATGTAGGTAAAGAATCTGATCGTTTCGAATGTAAAATGTGGATGCTTTGAGGCTATAAATAACACCGTAATAATGACGTCATAGTGAATAGCAATGAAACTAACATGTCGCTGTAATATTTGTTGAAGAACATGGTTATCCTTTCACTATGATCAATTTGCCAAACTAACCACAATGAAAAAATACATTGTCCTGCATTCAGGTGGAATTCAGTAGCAATGCGAATGTCAATGTATTACGTGAGACATATAGTAGTGTCAGTTATGAAATCATGTTTCATTCCAAGAGTCAATAAAGGTATTTCAAATACATTTTAAATATTAGCATAGGTACTGCACATATTAAAAATAATTACATAACGAAACGAAACTTGAAGGATGTTAGAAAGTTTCTTATTAATAGCTATTTGTATATGTCATAATACCTTTGTTTTTCTTTTTTTCCAGATATGACAGTGTCCATGTTTTCAACATGATGATTTGTACTCTGTTTCAATGTATTCATACAAAAATGAATTGTAATTAAACAGTTTCCAATGTAGTGTTAGCATCTCTCTCATTTCAAAAGTCATAGAATAATCATAAGTGGAAGAAAAGCTTGTGTAAGGAATCTCGCTTTTCCTGCTCCATTTGTCAACCAACATTTGGCGATATAGAAGCGGACGGCAATGTAACGTGGTGAACATAAGAACGAAATGTTTCACAATGGAAACAGTGATATATAAGTTGTGTGCAGTAGGAGAGGTCACTGCGGAAATCGGGATATATAAAAATATACGCTTCTATACTGCTACAAGACGTCGGGCGACCACTTGATTTAAATAACAAGTTGAAGGGCGACATCTAAATTTTATTTATGATAATAATGAATTCAAACAGAAACACATGCACACACACGCACGAACATGCATTGTTACATTTATTGTTTTGCGCTACGCTGTGAGGTATATAACTTAATAAAGAAAACGAACCACAGTATGTTTATCCCTTACCTCGCTCTGTGTACAATTGTCTGGTCTTACTAACAAAGGGACGGCACTGAATTTGACTCATAAACGTACTGTATATAGTAAGAGTGGTACTATTTTCTTTCGAGAATTGAGTTAAAATAAGTTAATGAGAGGCGGATGCGTTTATGCCTAGACTGTCTTAATCATATATTCAGATTGCCATGTTGGCTGATGATCCCAATCGCATTAGAGAAACTTAGAGTATCCATATTTAAAGACAAAGAGTGCGTAGTAACGCAGGTAGAATTTCACGCACTTTTAAAATTGGTTAAGTTTTCAAACAAGAAAATTAATTATGGACTGAGTGAAGCTATGAGTGCTGAACGGTTCTTGGAAAATATTTAAGAGTGTTATATTTTTATACTATGATACATCGTTGTGCATATACATTGTGTGCACTTATACAACATTAATTTGGGGTACAAGTCAATAATTTCTGCTTTAAAACTTGAAAACGTACGTATAAACAATGTACTCAAAGCGAGGCATCGGGGGAAAAGTACATCACTTTTCTTATGACCGTCACTTTGTGACCGTGCAATCAAGTAGTTAATCTAGCTATGTAGGGTAAACACACGTTCAACCGACTACATCCCCATTTAACATAAACATTCTTAGATAAACTCATAAGAAACAAGAAATAGGAACCACAATACAATAAAATGCATCACCCTTCAAAATGTCACCACGAAAATATCAAACCTTTCTAATATAGTTGTTGAAGAAGACGCATTTTCCTAGATGAAGCGGCCGTAACCCTTTTCTAATTACATGTTTAGTAAATGTAGACATGATCATATAAACCCAAATTTATATTGATTCCAAATGAATAATTATCGGGTATTTTCAATGTAATTGGGAAGGAACAACAAGTCATGCACCATAAGGTAAAGGGCCATTTTTATGTGGGTTTGGTACGGTTTGGGACAACTAGACAGTCACGGACCACAGGCTGTAGACCTGTTGTCAACAGGTGTGATAAGGGACACCTGGACAGACTTTGACTACAAGGCAAGGAGCCACTGCCAAAAGGTGCAGCAAGGGCAGCTAGACAGCACCGGACAACAAGACACGGAGCCATCGTCAGATGGTGTGGTAGGGGACACGTAAACAATCATTGATAAGAACATATGATGCCATTGTAAATGGGTGCAGTAAGGGACACGTGGAGAGCCCCGGACAACGAGACATGGGGCCATCGTCAGAAGATGTGGTAGGGGACACGTAGACAGTCCTTGATAACAAGATATGAAGCCAATGTCAACGGATGCGGTAAGGGACACAAAGAAAGTCTCGAACTACAGGACATGGAACCACTGTCATCAGGTGCAGTAAGGAACAACAACACATATTCGGACTACAAGACATGAATCCATCGTCAACGGGTGCGGTACGGGGTACTTAGACAGCTTCGGGCTTACAAGACATGAAACCATTGCCAGCAGGTATGGTAAGGATTTAGGAACAAAAAGGCTTTGCACAACAATATATGAGAACATGGTCAATGGGTGTGGTGAAGGACGAATATGTATCTTTCCACCACAAGACGTTGTCAGCGGATGTGGCAAAGAACACTCACGCAGCGCTTGACAATAACATTATTTAGTAAATAAATAAATGTTTGATTACAAACATTTAGGCAGCTCGGGATCACAAGGTACAGTATGGCGATTTTCCACGATTGTTTAAATATTGGGCTTCTGTTTACAAGTGTGGTAAGAAACACATACAGAATCATGCTCAAATCAAGAAATGAGGTATTGTAGTTGGATAAGAAAACCAATTTTAAATATAATCACCTTACCTGTTCTTTTCCAATTAGTTAACCAAAATGCATTCATTCATCAATAGATATTGCTCATGCTGTAGACACAAATGCCTTTTTGTTGCGTTACTGGTACATCGGCACCAGCTATTACTTTTATTCATTTTCGCATATAATAGACAGTTTTCGCTATTTCCCATTTATCTTGAACGCCGGTATTGGGCCGACTCATTTTCGTTCCCCGATGCATTGTTCTCTCCATGAAAGCTTATGGAAGCTGTGGCAGGACATATCGCCGGTTAAGTTCTGGGAGACGATGCTAGTTACAACGGGAACGCTGACTGTAGAATCACGGTTGCTCATGGTTGATCAACTGCAGAGCCCTCATACAGCTACGGCTGAGACCGTTAACATATACCGATTACATGCATGAGCATGTTGAAGTCACGCGGCAGCTTCAATGCGCTGTTTGAAGCTTTATTGAAACAACCATCAAGTCAGTTCGTTGTTGTCGTCGGAACCGTAAACCTATCAACTACAATATGTATTGCATTGGTAAGCTTCAGTAGGCTCCCGATAAACCTACGCAACGCATATATCACATATCTGGTTTGATGTCCATCACCCCCACTCTTAACCCCCCCC